AAGAGTATGAGAGGGTCAGAAAGAGAGAGAGACACAGAATGTGAAGCAGGCTCCAGGCTCTGAGCTGTCAGCACAGCCCGATGCAGGACCTGAACCCATGAACCGTGAGATCATGACCTGAGCCGAAGTCGGACGCTCAACCGACTGAGCCACAAAGGTGCCCTCACTCTATGCATATGTATGAGAGTCATGGGTTTACCATTAAAAAATTATTCTTTAACAATGTTTATTGGACAAGATTATACTAGTATTTAACCTCATTTTGGGTTTTTTTTTAAGATTCTGTTTTTTAATGTTTGTTTGTTTATTATTTTAATGTTTATTATTTATTTTTGAGAGAGAGAGCACAAGCAGGGCAGGGCAGAGAGAGAGGGAAACACAGAATCCGAAGCAGGCTCCAGGGTCTGAGCTGTCAGCACAGAGCCCAGCATGGGGCTTAAACTCACAAATTGTGAAATCATGACCTGAGCCGAAGTCGGATGCCCAACTGACTGAACCACCCAGGCGCCCCTATGTATTTATTTTTGACAGAGAAAGAGAGAATCCCAAGCAGGCTTTGGCTGTCAGCATGGAGCCCAACACGGGGCTCGATCCTACGACCTGTGAGATCATGACCTGAGCCAAAATCAAGAGTCAGACTGTTTGAGCCACCCAAGCGCCCCTTAGAGATTTTATTTTTAAATAATCTCTATATCCACCGTGGGACTCCAACTCACAACCCAGAGATCAAGAGTCACATGTTCTATCTGCTGAGCCAGCCAGGTGCCCCACTTTGGTTTTTAACTATCTTTACTATTTTTAGATACCAAACGTAATACTTCAAATCTTCACTGTAAACATATAAACAATAAAATACATAAAACAATGTAAACTATTGTGTCTTTTTCCATTGTTTACGGTTATAAACAATGAAATAATATGTCAAATAGACCTCTAACGTTCCTGTAATCCCAGCTCCTGATAGAAAATCGCTATGGCGAGTTTGGTACATAGTCAACCAGATAGTTCTCAATGCTTGCACTGATATGCCCCGATTCGAGAGACACCCCCCCCTCCCCCCGAGAACAAACCACCAGAGTCGAGTCAAAGCCAAGCGGCAAGGGTCCTTTATTGCAGGTTCGAACCCGGTCCCCCGCGCACTCGTTGCCGGTGACGCTAAGAGGCCCCGAGCAAGGATCTTACAGCTTCTTTTATAGACAGGCACAAACAAGTTAGGGATATTTTTTTAGAGGTTACAGAGCTGTTGTTGGTTGACATTTAAATTTGAACGCTCAGCAGAACTTGATTGGTTCCTGCCTTTATTTCAAACCATTCAGCAGAACTTGATTGGTTCCCGCCTTTATGTCAGACTACGACCGGGCACGCCCTGGCTGGTTTCGGGAATGGCGGGGGAGGGGGGGAGGTCTTTTCTTTGCAGTTGTGAGGACACCTGGTAATTTTTCTCTTAGTCTCTCACGCACTATGATATTTCTGTGTAAAATGTTCTCTATTTATAACTTTTAACAACAATAAATGCCATTTGCATAGTGTTCTACAACCTGCTTTTTATTTCATGGCGTTCTACACCCGCTTTTTTTCTGACTGAATAAGTGTCCACATCCTCTTTCTTAGAACAGCTTCATAAGAGATTATGGTTATTAATTTTTTTCAATTCATCCCTTACTAGTGGAATTTTAGTTGCGTTATTATTGTCTAATAAAAACAGTGCTACTGTGGACATTCTGGTACATCATCTTGATGCTCTTTCCCTTTTTATATATTAACTATCTCCATTAGCTCTATTAATATTGTCAAGCACGTAATTTATAACTCCTAAAGTCACTGCATCACTGTCTAGTTAGTTTGCTGTATTCAAGCAAGTTTTCTCCACTTTTTGGGTGCGTTGGTTTCCCGGTGCTGGGGGTCTTTGGGCAATACTGACGGAGAACCACTGCTAAGTGTGATATAAATGGTGTTAAGACGGTAAAAACGGTTCAATGGGAAAGTTCATTTCTCATAGAAAATACAAAATTTTTCAAAGCCTAGACTAAACCAGAAATTAGAATTAAGTTAATTAAAATTCTGTTGGGGTGCCTGGGTGGCTCAGTCGGTTAAGCGTCCAACTTTAGCTCAGGTCATCATCTCATGGTTCGTGAGTTCGAGCCCCATGTCAGGCTCCGTGCTGACAGCTCAGAGCCTGGAGCCTGCTTTGGTTTCTGTGTCTCCCATTCTCTCTGCCCCTCTCCTACTTGTGCTCCCTCTCTCTTTCGAAAATAAACATTTAAAAAAAAATTTTTTTAGATAAAATTCTGTTTAATTATTTTGAAATGGATGCCATTTAGTAGAGCATACTAATAAGAGACTAGGTGGTTATTTATTAGTGATAGGAAATTTTTTTCTGTGTTAAGACAAGCCAAGGTTTTGTATATATATACTACTTTAATGAATGCATTGTTCTAGATACTGTATTAAACAAATATTAAATGAGCTCACACATATACAGTATAGCTCTAATGCAAGCAAGCTCACCATATGTGTCGACTTTTTTAAATGGGTATATTGTAATGGTTAAGGGTGCAATTCTCCGGCTACACCTGAATTCACAGTCTGGCTTCATCATGTAGGGTTCTGTGCTCTTGGGCCAAAGTCCACTCAACTTTATGTTCCTCAATCTTTAATCTGTATATAACAAGAGAATAATGATAGTATATCTCTTAAATCCTTCCTTAAGAATTTAAAGAGTAAATATATGTAAAGTGCTTTAAACAGTGCAATTCTTATTGAGTCCTTACTATGCTATATGCCCTGGGGGAAGTAAATTAGGTAAGACAAAAATCCTTGCCCTCAAGTGGGTTTCTGCAACTTGAGTCTAAAGACATTTGAGAATGGTACGGGTTTATAATTTGGCGTAACTGAGTAGGCACAGGGTACAGTGAAAACATTTAGGGTGGGCCCTAGTTCTGAAGAGTATAAGTTTCCTAGGGGCAGAAATGGCTAAGCTAACACCTGAACAGGAAGGCGAGAGAAAGAAATTTTCAGATGGGCACAAGAAAGTCCATCTGTTTTAGGTACCTTTGGGAACTGCAAACAGTTTGACAGGGCTGAGTCATAGAGTGATGTGTGGGGAATAGGAGACACAACACTAAATTGATGGGTAGAGGCCAGATGATAGAAATTCTGAGCTGCTATGCAAGAGTTTGGACTTTATCCTGAGGCCAGGGCATAGACATTGAAAGGTTTTGCACAGGAAAATGACATGATCAGATTAGAGTACTAAAAATGATAAATTTGATAAGAGGGGTAATGAGGTGATATCTTTGGCTATTTAAAAAGTAGAATGGACAGAATTTGCTGGCTGCTTGCTTTATGGTGGTAATGTAGCACATGGTTAAGGGTGTGGCCTTCTTGACCAGATGGGCTACGCATCTAACTTTTCCATTTATTGTGTGACCTTAGGCAAATCACTTCAGTGCTCTGAACTTCAGGCTTTATAAGATTGGCTAAGTGTCATCTACCTACAGATTTATCAAGGGAATTAAATGACATAATGAATACAAAGTGAGCGGCACAGTGTGTCTAGTGTATTACTACATCAGTAAATGTATACAATAACAGAATATTACTCAAAAATTTAAAAACCAGCCAGTTATGGTTAAGTGGTCAGGTCTAGTCAGACTCAGGTTTAAATCCCCACTCTGCCATTTACTACCTGTAGGACATTTCCTGTGCCTCAGTTTTAGTATTTGTAAGATGATGAAAATGATAGTGCCTCTCAAAGTGTTTGGTAAGGAAGATATGAGACAGTTGAGGCAAAGTGCCAGCATATTAATTCATTTAAACAGATTATTTATTGAATATATGTGCCAGGCACTATTCTAGGCCCTGAGAAGAGACAGGCACAGTAGTAAATAAAACAGATGAAAACAGCACATGGAGCTTAACTATATCAAACATCTGGCACATACAAGTGTTAGGTATTCTATCTGTTACAAAGCATTATTCAAAGACAAGTTCTGTGGTCCTAATCTAAATTGTTTCTATAATTTATATTGTAATAAAAGAGTAATATTCCATAAACATTTGTAATAGTAATAGGAAGACAGAGAGACACAATCCAAGATAACTCAGACATTGTAAAGACGCCAGGTATTGGAAAGGGGAAACACATATTTGAGGAAAGATTTGCTGATAAGACGATGACTGCATTAACACTTTCTTTTTCCCAGGAAAAGCTGGAAGCGCGCGCGGGCACCTGCCTGAAATCTCCCTAAGAAGGTGTGATTATAGCCTATTTGCTTAAACCACGTTAAAACATTTGAGGAACGACTTGGAAGAAAATAAACATTAGTTTCCTTCTTATAAGATAAGGTATGCAAACACCAGAGATTCCAGACATATTTATTTAGTTCAAATGCCTCTACTTACAACAGAATCTCGGGGGTTTGTGCACCGGATGTTTAACAAAGACCTGATTAAGCATGGTGCAGCCTAGAATAGCGAGGCCCTGATCCTCCGTTGCTAAGGCAACCAACTCCGCGCTGGCCCAGAGGAGATGGAACCTGAAACCTCGGTGACCCGGCGGGTGGCCACCTTCCTTTTGTGTGTGTGTGTGTGTGTGACCTGGGAGGGTAGCCACCTTCCTTCTGTGTGTGTGTGTGCGCGCGTGTGTGTTATGGGTGAGAATAGGCCAGGAATACAACGGTCAATGGGGATGCTAGATACGTTGCCTGCCTCTATTCTCGGTAGAGGGCGCTACAAAAGCAAGTTCCTCTAGAAACAGCAGCCCCTCTTTCGCGCCTCACCGCCACAAAAGCGCCCAACACTCCCTTTCCTAGCTTACTTAATTTTGGCCGGAAAAGCCCCGCCCCCAGGGGAGAAAATAGCTCCACCTCCCAATAGCTTCTCGCGATCGTTGCGACGGAGCTAGCTATGGGTAACTTCCGGCCGCGACCGCTTCAGCTCTTCGGCGATTGGCCCATTTCCACCGTCTGCGCTTAACTTCCTGTATGGGTTCCGGGGTTGCATGTGTGGAGAGGCCTAAAGACGCAGCGGGGATTCGGGCTTTGCTGGCGTTTTGGTAATAGTCATTTTCCCGTGGCTGGCAGCGTGCCGTCGTCACTCTTCTCTGGAGTGAGCGCCGCGCAGCTGCAACATGGTGAGCAAGCCTCGTTGTCTCGGGTACGGGGCGCTCTGGTTTTCCAGACGCCTGGCGGCTTCCTCTGGTGCCAGTGGCTACTACGGCCAGGGTTTGGGACGGCTGGCCCAAAGGTGTGGGGAGGCGGCTAGGCGGCCCTGTGCCCCGTATGGGTCACCCTCACCACCCTGGGCATCCTTTGCAGTTTAGAGTGCTTCTCCCACGGCCAGCCCTCCCCGGGGAGTGGAAAGAAGAGAATGGCTTCCCATTTATTCCAAGGGGCCTAAAAAAGCCTGTGAACGCAAAACACACAAACGTATCATCCTGTGCTTTCTGCAGTCGGGAGGGGGAGTTGGCTGGTTTCTCCAGACGTTGGAATGCCAGTTGTCTGCTCATCGGGTGTTCTCGGCATAGGCAACTTGTGGGAGAGTCTAAGTTTGGGCCCGAAGCAAGGTGGCTTACTCAACTGGGATGATGCTTTCTCAGTTTAGGAAGTCAGAGTTGGGTAGGGTAATAAGAGTGTAGAAATGATGAATCTTACTGTAGTTGTGCAGTCCTGGTTTCACTTAATAGTTGGTACGCGCCGTGCATAACTTGCTGGAAATGGTCTTCCCCAGATTTTCTGTGGCAGGCTCCTCCTTGTCAGTCTGGTTCCACCTGTCCGGGACCTTCTCTGAGCACCCAGTCTAAAGTAACTGTTAGTCATTTGTAAGTTACTGTGTTTTATTTTCTTTACTTGAAATCTTTTTTTACTTATGGTTTGCTTGATAAGAGTAGGGACTGTGACTGTCTCATTGCTGTATCCCCAGAACCCATAACAAGGTTTGGCACAAAGTGCCATCAAATGTTTATCGAAGGAAGGTAAGTACAGATTTTCTCCAACATTGTTGATGTTGCTTACCACAGAAATGTGAGTTTTAAAAATCTGTTGACCCTTTATGTAACTTCCTGAAGGTGCCTATGTGGATTATGGTCTTTTTTTATTCTTTTTCAACGGCTTATTCTGATTCCGTTGCTTTGAAGCCTCACAGGAAGAAGAAGCCTTTTATAGAGAAGAAGAAAGCTGTATCTTTTCACCTGGTCCACCGGAGCCAGCGAGATCCTTTAGCCGCGGATGAGACTGCACCCCAGAGGGTTCTATTGCCCACACAGAAAGTAGGTCCTGTTATATAGCCGATAAGTTTGCAGGCAGACTGTCAGATTTTAAATAAATTGTTAACCGCTGCTATTCTCAGACAACTGTGATCTTCTGGGAAACAAAATCTGTGACTTAATTTTCAGTAAATGTGCTGATTTTTACGTCTTGGGTATTTGATTGAGAGGATAAAGCATCTTTATTTGAGATGTTTAAATGAGCAAATGTTATAAAGTAACAGTGGATATTTACTAAACTAGCTACAGTGCTGCATGATTATTTAGGGCACATCTTTGCTTTCCTGTCATTTCAAAACCACGGACTCCCTTTTGGAGTGATGATAACCTCATCGCTTCTCTCATGAATTAGCTTTAAAAAATGCCAGGAAACCTTTAAAAAGTTGACTTGATTGTCAGAGTGTAAGTGTTGGTAAATTTGATAGGAAGTCTTGGAGAACATTGACTGTATCTAGCTTTTTAGTAAAGCCTGCTTGTGTTGTATGTTGGGAAGGGTTTTTTTGCATATAAATACAAGAAATTGTACTTACTTTTCAGGACCCTCTGGTCTTTTAACCCTCCAAGTACGTGATAAAATTCTGTGTGTGTGTGTTTCTTGGCCTGAATTTAAAAAAAAAAATTTTAAGTTTTTAAATTAAAAAAATTTTAACGTTTTAAATTAAAAAGTTTTTAACGTTTTTTATTTATCTTTGAGAAAGAGAGAGACAGAGTGCCAGTGTGGGAGGGGCAGAGAGAGAGGGAGACACAGAATCCAAAGCAGGCTCCAGGCTCTGAGCTGTCAGCACAGAGCCCAACACTGGGCTGGAACTCATGAACTGCGAGATCATGACCTCAGCCAAAGTCAGACGCTTAACTGACTGAGCCACCCCGGTGCCCTGGCTGAATTTTTTTAATTGAACTGTAGTTAGACATACAATGTTACATTACTTTCAGGTGTACAGCATAGTGATTTGACAAGTCTGTACGTTAAGCTGTGCTCATCACAAGCATAGTTACCATCTGTCACTGAACAATGCTATTATAGTACCATTGGCCATATTCCCTATGCCGTACCTTTTATTTCCACGACTTATTTCATTCTATAACTGGAAGACTGTATCTCCTGTTCCCCTTCACCCATTTGCCCATCCCCCCACCCTCCCCTTTAGCAGTCATCAGTTTTGTTCTCTGTATTTATGGATCTGCTTCTGCTTGTTTTTTTTTTTCTTTTTTTAGATTCCACACATAAGTAAAATCATATATGTTTGTCTTTCTCTGACTTACTTCGTTTAGCATAATACTCTTTAGGTCTGTCCTTGTTGCAGTGGCAAGAACTCACTGTTTTTGTTTTTATGGCAGAGTAATACTCCATTGTGTGTGTATGTGTATATATATATACACACTACATCTTTATCCGTTCCTCTGTCAGTGGACACTTAGGTTGTTTCCATATCTTGGTTGTTGTAAATAATGCTGCAGTCAACATGGGAGTCCATATATTTCTTTCAAATTAGTGTTTTCATTTTCTTTGAGTAAATCGTAGTGGAATTACTGGATTATATGATATTCCAATTAATTTTTTGAGGAACTCCATTCTCTTTTCCACAGTGACTTCACCAGTTTATATTCCCACCAACAGTGCACGAGTGTTCCTTTTTCTCCACATTCTCGCCAACACTTCTTCTTTTTTTTCTACCTTGGCTTGAATTGTTGCACAGAAATGTCTAGTAGAAGCAGTAATTGTTTTCATTCCATTTAACTTTTATATAGCACTTGGGTTCAGAATCTCTGTTTTTCCTGAGTTTTCAAGAATTCTTTGTCTCATTCTTATTAGCCACATCTTTCGTGTGCCATCTGCCTCCTATTCTGAAAGCTGTGTTCACTGGAAGGTTCCTGTGGCTTGTGCTTGGAAGAGGTGCTGATTCCATTTTGTTTATTATCCTAGATAAATGACGAAGAACGGCGAGCAGAACAGAGGAAGTACGGTGTGTTCTTTGATGATGGCTATGACTATCTGCAGCACCTGAAGGAACCATCTGGGCCCTCAGAGCTGGTTCTCACAAGTGCCTTCAGTGCACCCAACAGAAGAGACGAAAAAGGAGGAAGTTTAGAAATTTCAGTAAGGCTTTTTATCAATATGTGTGGGAGCGAGTGAAGAAACCACCATTTATAAATCAAGATAACTAGGGTGAGAAATGGTGTCAATCTGAACACAAAAATAAGCCACGCTCTCACTTGAAATCATGTATGTGTGTGCGCATAGGAGACAGTAGGCTTCCTGTTCTCTGGGGACAGCGGTTGGAAGTTGCAGCCTTTGACGGGGTTAGAACCTTTCATTAATAGATGTAGTCATGTTAGAAAGCACCTTCCAATAGAGGAAAAGCAGCTGACATTCCATGCGTTAACTATTTAGTGTCATAAACTGTCTTCTAAGGTAGAACTTAATTTTTGTGGAATGTTCGGATCTTTAACAGTTGTAAAAAGCTGTAAGCTGACCAGAAGAGAATAGAAGCAATAGATATCATAATGAAGTTTCTGATACTCTTCTCAACAAAAATGCGGTGTACTTTAATTTTTTCTTTAAAGTATAGGCTAGAGCACATATTTCTGTGAAATTAATACTACTAACAAGTTCTGTTTCCTTGTTTATGTTCAGGATACTTGTGTCATATGACTTTATCTTTTTATTTAGTATTAGTGTATAGTAAATTTTCCTGTGAAACTTTTATATCACCTGACACTTAAAAAAAGCTATTTATTTATTGGGTTTGTTGACAAAAAGAAGAGTTAAAAAGGGCACGAATTTCTCCTGCTTCTCATTCTTCAATCCTGTCATGGTCTAGGTATTGTTTTCCTCAGTGAAGTGTGATCATAGCTCCTTCAGTCTATAGCTTGTTGCTTAAGGAGAGTCAAAGGGGTTGCATTTCAGGGTATCATCCCAAAGGAAGGTAATAACTGCAGCTGCTCTCGTTCACTCCCTAGGTTGTAGCTCTCTTGTAAGGCTGCATAGTCCACTCTACAGCCCTGTCCCACTCCCACTGGGCTGTGTCCCACAGCCCACTCCCACATCTCTGTCCTAACAGAACCAACTTCTGTACTGCTTCTTTCCCAAGGTGATATTACTATCAGGAGTAGGGTAGGTATGTTATTGGCTCACCTCCTTCCATGACCCAGTGAGGGAGGGAAGAGGGTCTGGTAGTGCTTCAACTTTATCTTTTTTTTTTTTTTGTTAACGTTCCTTTATTTTTGGGAGACAGAGTGAGAGGGAGACACAGAATCCAAAGCAGCCTCCAGGCTCTGAGCTGTCAGCACAGAACCCAATGAAGGGCTCAGATCCATGAACTATGAGATCATGACCAGAGCTAAAGTTGGATGCTTAACCAACTACCCAGGTGCCCCTTGCTTCAACTTTATTTTAGGGCGAAAAGTCTTAATAAAGTTCTTACATTTTTCTGGCTGAATTGTATTGGCTTTTAAAAGATTAGCTTTTTAAGGGGCACCTGGATGGCTCTGTTGGGCTTTGGCTTAGGTCATGATCTCGCGGTTCATGCGTCTCAGCCCCACGTCGGGCTCTGTGTTGACAGCTGCAGAACCCAGAGCCTGCTTCTGATCCTGTGTCTCTCTGCCCCTCCCCCACTCATGCTCTGTCTCTGTCTCTCAAAAATGAATAAATTGTTAAGTTAAAAAAGATTAGCTTTTGAAAGATTAAGTTTTAATCCTCAGTTAATTTTGGGTAAAAGTAATCACTGTTTAATTGGCTTTGTAAGAGAATAATGCTCTTAAATGGACGCTTCAGTGATATTTACAAGGGTGAGTGAATTCTATTTAAAAACAAAAATGCCATCTGTTTTCTGTAGCATGATGCAAAAATATGGATGAGTCCTTTGTGCTTTTTTGATTTTGAAGTATTTTGTAACAACTGCCAAAGTTGAGTAAACCAGAAATATTGAATAAACCCTAGAAACAGGAAATGAAGCAGTACAGAAGTAGTCCTGTGTGAGCAGCTCGATTGTCACATGAAGGAAAGGAGGTCCTGCTGTGGTGGAAAGCAGCTGGGCAAACTCAGCAGAGTTCACAACTACTGCAACCAATAAAAACATACACATTTTTTTAAATGTTTACTTTTATTTATTTTGAGAGAGAGTGAGCACGAGCAGGGAGGGGTAGAGAGAGACAGTCCTAAGCAGGCTCTGTGCCATATCAGTGCAGAGCCCGACAAGAGGCTCAGTATCACAAACTGAGATCATCACCTGAGCCGAAATCAAGAGTCATGCGCTTAACCGACTGAGCCAGCTAGGTGCCTCCACCTTTCTTTTTTAAGAACGTAATCCCTAAACTCTGTGATTGTGATTCTTTGACTGTTTTTCAAAATTCGAAAAATACCTCCAAAGGTGAATTCACTAAACACAAGCTGATCCTCCCTTTTATCTTTTTAAGGTTTATTCATTTTTCAGAGGCAAAGTGTGAGTGGGGGAGGGGCACAAAGAGAAGGAGACAAAGAATCTGAAGCAGGATCCAGGCCTCTGAGGTGTCAACACAGATCCCGACGTGGGGCTCAAACTCATAGACTAGCAAGATCATGACCTGAGGTGAAGTTGGAGGCTTAACGGACTCAGCCACCCAGGTGCCCCTGATCCTTTTTTTTAATCCCACCTTCCAAGAATAATCAGAATATCTTACAAACAAAACAAAACTACATACATATTTTATAATTTTTTTTTTAATTTTTTTTTTTTT